AGTAGTACCACTAACACACCAATACCATTTACACTGTATATAATGTGAAAATCATACAATCCAACCCATTGTTCACAGTATATAATTAACAATAAACTATGTAACTGAAAAATAAAACACAATTTTCTCATGAATGAAAAGTTAATAATAAAATAATAATAATAACACTATAAAATGAAGTGTTGGTTGATTCAATACATTCAGTGGTTACAGCCTTACGCAGTCTGGTATGACCAGTATCCCATCGATTTTGCTCTTTAAAATGTATGTATTTTCTGAGTCAGTAGTTTAATTTAATTCAGTTTGTACTATTATCCAACTTTCACTTGTAGCTGACCGTGGCTGTGGGTAATACGGTCGGATAAAGCGCTATATAAATACAGCCAATTCACTTGTGGCAGCTAAAGTTACATCATTTTTTACATTAAAAAAATAATAATACGGTATATACATACAGTATTTAAAACCAATTGAAATTACTTCTTGCAAATCTTCAATGTTTCAATTGTATTCCGTTGGAGTCTCTGGCTGAACCAAGAGGGTTATTAGCTGGACATCTTAATATCCAGAGTGCTATTCCTAAAAAATTAACAGTTGCAACATATTGTAGATTAAACAAATTCGGACATCCTGTGCCTACATATCTACACAAAATTCCCCTACAGATATACTAAATGTGCACTCCTATAACATATTTAAAGGTCCCCTATTATACTGTTTTCCATCAATATATTATAGGTATATTTTCTCACCAGTCCCGCTGACCCCTCGATTCCCGGACCGAGTGCGGGAGAAGCGGCTATCAGCGGTCCTGATAGCCCCGGAGCGCACAGGAGCGTCCTGGTTTCCATGCCTACAGCGTACGCTGTCAAGCAGACCGTGGGCCGTTTTCTGCGAGGAGTACGGAGACTCAGACCTGTGTCACGCACACTGGCGCCTCAGTGGGACTTGGCTTTGGTGTTACGTGCACTGAGTAAAGCCCAATTTGAACCTTTAGATCAGGTTCCCCTTAAAGTTTTGTCAGCCAAAGTAGCATTACTTTTAGCGCTGACATCAGCAAAAAGGGTGAGTGATTTGTCTGCCCTCTCTGTGGCTCCGTCATGTCTCCGGATCCAAGGAGATGGCAGCTCAGCTGTTTTGTCAGTGGAAGACTTTTGCACTGCTGCATCTTGGTCTTCCCCCTGTTCGTTCATTCAATTTTATTTGAGGGATGTCTCCCATTCCTCTCTGACACACCCTGCGCTCTCCTGCCTGTCAGCATGCAGAGAGCTGCCCTTGTTCCCCCCTCTTTTATCGCTGGACAAAGTGTGACCTTCGTCTCTACTTTTTCACAGCGGCAGGTTTGTATTGTTCCCAGCCTTTGTCCCCTCATGGAGAATATTCATGTTATGCTATATTCCGGGGACTGTGATGCGCCATTTGCATGGCGCAATAGGCATGGGTTATTATTAGGTGTGTCTGTTAGGGATGTAACGATACCAAAAATTCACGGTACGATAATATCGCGATAAAAAGTCCACGGTACGATATTTATCGCGATATTGAAAAATAAAGAAGAAAATAAATTATGAAAAAAAAGAGATTTTACATTTTTTCTTTATTGAATAATAAATCTGATTTGTACAGCATTTTAGTAGTATTTTAAAGTGTCAACAATATAATAATCAGACCCTGCAATAAAATAAGTCAAGTTTCACTTTAGTTTTTCAAGTAACTCAACTCAAACTCACTAACTCACTCACTCAGCATCATCAGACAGGTTTTTAGGAATATGAGCATGCCCACATTTCCAGGTAGAAGCTGGGATGTTTGGGCGTTTACAATATCCCCTGCTGTGGAAAAAACTCTCTTGCTTGGTACTGATGTTGCTGGGACAGAGAGATATGCTTTGTCCATGGGTGACAGCAGTGGGTAAAACTGTGCATTGTCTCTCCACCACTTCAAAAACAATACAGTTGTTGCCAAGAAGGTGAGGCTTATTGACAGGGCGAGATATATACTGTTGGTACTTGTCAATGTCTCTAGGTATGTAAATGTAGCCCTGTAAATACGATGTCCTTTTGTGCTATCTGTTGTTTTATGTTCATGTTGTAACCTACTTGCTGCCATGTTGGACAGGTCTCTCTTGAAAAAGACATCGATGATCTCAATGGGATAGTGTTGTCACGATACCAACATTTTGGTTTCGATACCGATACCAAATCAAGAATTGCGATTCCGATTCTTTTTCGATACTTTTCTTTTATTATTTTCATGATCAATAAGTAGTTTATCTGTTAAGTGTTTTCTTACAACATGGTCTCTTCTTTATACTTGAGTTTATGTGATTTCTTTGATAGTTAACTTTATATTTTATTAACATGTAATAGTACAGTAATATAAATAATTATTGACAAAATGTACATTGCAGATGTTAGCCACATTGGTAAGTTAGCTAAAAAGATAGCCATATTAGACAGTTATCATTGCCATTAATTGCCTCGTCAAACTACGAAAACGTTCGTTTGTCACAAAATCAATGACACTTGTCGTCACTACATCTTGCTTCGCCCTTAACCCAATAGTGATAGCCTTAGAGGGCGAAGCCATATACGAAATAGAACTGAAGTTACCTACTGTAACTCCAGCTTCTATGAGTATAGGCGTAGCCCTCTAAGTGCTGGGCCCCACTGGCTCCACGAATAGCTGAAGACAAGTTGTTTGTGTGGGAGCAGATTGTCGGGCCTCCTTCCTATTTATACCGGAAGGGAGCCCGAGGGTGGGGCCCACCTTGCGGGCGGGCGTGGACTACAAGTGTTTTCAGTCCTGCGCGGGTGCCCAATAGCGATAGCCTTAGAGGGCTACGCCTATACTCATAGAAGCTGGAGTTACAGTAGGTAACTTCAGTTATTTTCCCTCCTGCATTCATGTGACAGAGCCGAGAGTGGCTGAGACGCACCGGCTGGGAGGCGGGGCTTAAGGACAACTAGTGCGGGGAGGACTAAACCATTTTCCTCCTTTTGTGAGGGGTGAGAGGGGCCCCGGACAGCCTTCACCATTTGTTTTTGGACACAGAATTCAGTAATTCAACCGATTTGTTTGAGCTAGTTTAATTTTAGTTATGACACTATCTACAAAAACAAACTTTGAATTCCATGCCTTTCAAGGGCCCTCCCCCCATCTGGGCCCTGGGTAGTCAGTCCCACTTGTCCCCCCACTTCTCCACTACGACGCCCCTGCTTGCGCTCACATCCTCTTACTGATCACAACAGCAGTCTTAATGCAGGTTAAATTGTAAACATAATTTTCCTTTTTTTTGTGTTTCATGATCATTATGGCTGCATTCACAATTTCATTTTCTTAAAGGAAAAAGTACTTCTTAGATATAGTTTTGCAATTTGCATATGTGGGGATCCAATTCAATGGTGCCCAGAGCAATACATTACACCACATCTGCAAATCTGCTTTATTAGGGTCGACAATAACGGTCACCATGATCATATCACTCAAGACTTGCAATCATAGATTCATGCACTTGAATGCCAGAACGTTCCTTGATGTCTGGAGTTGAGTCTAACTGCTACAATATATTGCTCTGGTGGTAAACAGTTGAGCAAGCAGGCTAGCTTAGCAACACCATTAGCAACAGGAACTGCAGTACTGCACACTGAGAAGAGGAAAACAAACAAGAACAGCAGAACAGCGCCAGTGGGAAATAATGATTTTTTTTGTATTGTTTTAATAATTGAAATGATGACCATTGAATGCATAACCATGCCACAAACAACAACAAGATTCACTGTCTTTTTTTTTTTACCTAGCATAAGATTATCTTCATAAATATGAATTCATTCATTTTCATTATTGTTATTTCTTCAGATTATAACCAATGCTGCAAGACTATACACAGATCCCTCAGAGGACCTCAATGCACTTACACACCAAGAATAACAGAGAGAGGGGGGGAGAGAAAGAGAAAGAGAGAGAGAGAGGGAGAGAGGAGAGAGAGAGAGAAGAGAGGGAGAGAGAGAGAGAGAGTGAGAGAGAGAGAGTGCTCACAATGGTCAATAAGTGCACAAATACTTTTTTTCATTTAAAAACACTGACATGACATCCATTGTCAGGCAATGAAATTATAGAATACTGTTACTGTAAAACTAGACCCCCCCCTCCCCCCACACACAAACTGATGGAACGGGTTTCATTTGGTCAAATGAATCTGCATTTACACAACACACCGAAACACACTCACACACTCTGCACATTAAGTGCTATTGCATGTCATATCCATCACTCTGAGAGTGTGGGAGCGTACCTGATCTACCTGCTTCATATCAAATAGTCACATAGACTTTATTTAAAATAACTTACTCACTTTACTGAAATGAACAGTTTTACATTATTGCAGGTTATTTTCAATTATACCATTACTTTTAGATATTTAAATGTATACTACCTTTAAATCAGCCAGAATATCCACTACCATGTGAAAATTATCTTGTAGTAGTCTACAGTATGTCTCTGGTAGATAACCACATGTTGCAAAGGCTGTGTGTGTTTGCTGTGTGTGTGAGAGCAGCTGTCAGGGAGCTCGGCTCAGGACATTGGGACTGAGCCGCCTCCTACAGACCCCCCCCCCCCATCAGGAGTCATTCTCCCAGCCGCTCACCTCCACTGTTTCACATATATGTATATCTTTTTACAGAATTAATGTAGCTTCAGTGCTTAATACCGCCCCCACAAAAAGGAAAAAGAACATTAACTTTTTTCTAATTCAATGATTGCACATTTAAAAAGTCAGAAGATTAAAAGTTGATAATAAAGTAGTGAAATGTATTTGGTGAGAAGTTGAAAAGTAAAACAGCAAAGAATTACGGCTCAGAGTAATGACTGTGGTAGAGAGAGTGTGTGTGTGTGTGGTGTGTGTGTGTGTGTGTGTGTGTGTGTGTGTGTGTGTGTGTGTGTGTGTGTGTGTGTGTGTGTGTGTGTGTGTGTGTGTGTGTGTGTGTGTGTGTGTGTGTGTGTGTGTGTGTGTGTGTGTGTGTGTGTGTGTGATATCAGAAGACAGACAGGTTCTCAGTCATCTCTACTGGCAGATAGAGAGTCCTCACTCCTTACAGCTCTATAACTACACATATGATTGAAACAGAATAGCCCTGTACACTGACCATCCACAATCACTATTTTAGTTATGAACTCCTATTTTCAATATAAATTGCTGTATACACTGCATATGTACAACAACAAAAAACATATAGTTAAACGTTTGTAGTGAATAGGTAAAGGTTGTCACTCAATGATCTGACTCAAGTCTAATTGGCCTCTCAAAAAGGAGCAGCAAGTCAAATGTAAATTGGAATCAAAAATCCTAATCTGAATCAGAACGCTGATATAAATGTATCTCTTTCTTTAAACCTTATTTAAAGTTCCCATCTAAGATGGTTATTTGAGTTTCACCCTGCAGGTGTACTTCTGCTGATCAAAAGAGTCACCATCTAGTGGAGAAGCAGATCTTTGAGATCTGAACTAGGAACAGCCTTAAGGCAAACACTGTGTAGATCTGTGCTGAACCATCAGCGCATCCCTCCTGGTCTCCATAACAACCCTCCTCCTCATCAATCCCAGCAGCCACTTCTGTTTAGTTGTATCTCATTCTCCTGTTTCTTTCAGCACTTCCAGACCTTTGATTTCCTTTTTCTCCTTTTCTGAATGAATCAGTGTTCCCACAGCTCAAGTGATGCCACTCCTTACCGAGCATTCCTTAACAACTCTTAATAAGAGGCACGTGACTCCACAGCTTCACTGATGCCAACACACCTTCCAGAACTCACAGCTGTTCACCTCACGAAAGACCAGATGAATATTAGTATTTAGTAGTGATTTTTCAAATCAATCGTACAATTGATTGGTCATTTTGGTCTCATTAGGGCTTGTTGAAGGAAATATAAAAATCAAATCAAAAGAAACTCTCAAGATATTTGGTGCATATGCATGTGCATGTGTTTTGTGTGTATTTGTGTGCGTGTGCAGAACCACTTAGATATATCATTATGAATCATTACATGAACATGTGAAAGTGATATAACCCCACCCCCCCACACACACCTACCCCGTTAAAATACCCTCAATGTTCAAAATTACACATAAATAATACTGATATAAATGTGGCAAAATTCCAAAAAGTGAGAAAAACATTATTCATCAGACTGATGAGAACATGACATACACATGTTTAAAATACTTTGTGCTGCTAAGATGTGCTGTTTCTGAGGACACATCACCAGTTTACACAAACTGGAGAGGGGGACACACAGAGCCCCCGTTTCACTAGTTGTTCGACATGACCTTAAGAGCTTTAACGCAGTGAGCTTAAGGAACCCGACATGACTTATAGAGTAGAATAAAGCGATATCATGGGATCATTTCTGACATCATCTTCATCTGAGACTATTCTCAATCAACATATCGTTCATTATGATCACAATAAAATATTTTTCCTTTCAGTAACCCCACACCTGTGAGACATACCAGTGGGTGGAAGAAGAATCCCTAATGAAACCGGGCTCCAGTTGAGGATGGGTCGGGTTAGAGGGGGCAGTTATCAAAGTTACCCATTTGTACCCAGGAGGTTCTCATCTCCTTGGGCACCATATTTATCTGCAATACTGTCATCATAATGTGGCGATACGACACGACACAGCATGACACCATCATACAACACCGACCATTCAGCCACATCTATGAGTATGTGTGTGTGTGCGTGTGTGTGTGTGTGTGTGTGTGTGTGCGCATGTGTGTGCGCGTGTGTGTGCGCGCGTGTGTGTGTGTGTGTGTGTGTGTGTGTGTGTGTGTGTGTGTGTGTGCGTGTGCGTGTGTGTGTGTGCTCTGTAGATTGTTGACTGTGTGTGCCATGCTAACTTCTCTCAGCAGATCTGCAGACAGCAGTGGTGGTCACCATGCTATAGTTTAATATATGGCTACGCTTAGTGATGGATGGTCAGCCAGTAAAACAAAGAAAAATGTTCTTTTTACTTTTCAGGAAAAAAGAAAAAGGAAAAGCCCAGCTGGCCCAAACATCAGCACACTGGATGCTCCAGGCAACACACAATCAGATGAAATTACATCTCTTTGGGGTCTTCTGCTCATTGTTTTTCTTTCTTTTAATGTTATTATCTTGCATGTTTCTTGTGCGATGTTTAACATGCACTGTGCTTTCTTTTATTTTGCAAAAGTTGAAGTGCCACCTCATGGTTATTTTGGTTGCCTTATATGATTTTAGGCCAGTTTCCGTTGATTGTTCTGCACATTCCCACATTGCACAGCTACTTTGGTGAATTGGGGTGTGGGTTAGGGTTAGGGTTAGGGTTAGGGTTAGGGTTAGGGTTGCACGCTTAAGGCCCCAAAAGTCTTAGGCCGGCCTTGGTAAATGTAGGCTTAATAGAAATATCACGAAGACCTTACAGTTCATAGCCAGACTTCCTTTTGAAACATTTCTAATTCAGCTATCTTGTTATCAGATTTAGCAGATTGCAATCTCCTCTCCTCTGAGGAGGGAAGTGCTTTCTGAGGTACATCGTGAGGCCTTTCACTCAAACGTCAGGGTGAAGAAAAGAATGGAGCAAACCAACATAGCAGATGCTAAAGTGTTAGCATAGATCACCGAGCCAATGATCTACTGCATTGTGTCTTTCTAGTCATAATGTTTCTGCATACTAATCATTATTTGAATCCATGTTTGCATTGTTTGCATTTAACCCATGTATTGTGTGTTTAGGCATGTGTGTGTGTGTGTGTGTGTGTGTGTGTGTGTGTGTGTGTGTGTGTGTGTGTGTGTGTTCTTTCTCCATAGGTGTGTGTTTATGTGTACGCGTTGAGGCGTTCTTTGGAGCGTGTAGAGTGGATGTCGTGCAGCTCCTGCTCCTCTTTGGACTTGATGTCCTCATACTTCTGAATCCGGCTGGCGTCCTTCAGATATCCCCAGTTAGCAGCCAGAGCCATCAGGAAGTGGACCTGGGGGGTGTGCATGGATACAATTTACTTTTAGACCCTAATTTGTTGGTTTTAGTTTTGAAGAAAATGTTCACCAGTCTTTTTATAAATACTTTCCCAATGTAAGATGTTTTTCTTTCAGTATAAAGACAGATGTGAGTGATATGCTCCAATGACAATGCCATGTGGAGTCCTCTCCATGTGAACAAAGAAAACAAAATGTGTATTTCTTCACGGGTACACAGATTTAGTCTATCATTTAGAACCCAATTAAGACAGAACTTTAGGCATCTTTGTTTCATTGATTGAACTTTATCTGCCTGGATTCATTTTCTGCCTCATGTCCAGCGGCTGTGGTTGAGTGTGTGAATCAGCATTAAGTTAGATCAGGGATGGGCAAATGGCGTAGTACTGATACCGTCCACTAGACTCCTAGTTACGTCACAAGCTGCGTACATGATTTCAAATACCGCGAAATAATCTGTGACGCGTTTGTGTGTATTGTGTTTGTTTCCCGGGAACAGCAGAGTGCGGGTTGACAGGTGTCTGTGTTGACATTCCCCTTATTGTGGAATAAGGGGAATGCAGAGACTACAAGTGTCTTAGGTTCAAGTTAGACAACTAATGTCTGGGTTAGTGTTCATGACAAGCACATTTTCCGTGCTTTCCAATAGTTTAAAATAGTTGTATTCCACTGTTAAATAACCTGTTCAATACAAACATGCCACTTGTAAAAATTAAATTAAATGTCTGTGAACTGATATTAGTTTAGTGAGCTTATTAGAGGATGTTCCCTGAAAGATTGTAAAATGTCAATGAAGATGTCAGACTTAATTTGTTAATAATTACATACAATACATGGAATTTGTTCCAAGTGAATCTGCGGCCCCCTGGTGGCCAGTACATCAATTATGTGGCCCCCACCACCATCAAAGTTGCCCATCCCGAGTTAGATGATCGCGATTTGGCACATTGATGACAGCTCTGCCATCAGTGTATGAATGTGTGTTTGAAGGGTAGATGTGTAACAGCAGTTTGAATTATTTGAAGAATAGAAAGGCGCTAAATAATTGCATTTTAGGTGTGTTAGTGTGAGAACTCCAATCACCATGGCGATGACAGCGGCTCCTGCTCCTGCCAGTGTGCACACGAACAGATGGAAGGTCAGGTCCAGCTGGAACACACAAGCAGTGGTCATTTATCTCTTTCTCTCTCTTTTGTTGACAAAAGTCATAAATCCTATTGTGTGTTATTCAAACGTGTTCACACGTGTGGTTCTTACCTCATTGGATTCACACATCTTGAAGAACTTCTCAGATCCTGTACACACCTTCTTCTCCTCAGAGATGGTCACCGCTCCTAAACATAAACTCTTCATTACTATGGACTTCACACTTTTATATTTTACAAGAATGCAGATAAATGAACTGAATCTGGAGAATATATAAATATGACATTGAAGCCCTTTGAATCTTTCTTTATATTCCTATATCTCTGTCTCTGTATTTATGTTATTCAAATTGACTAAGATTATTGATTCACTGGTATTGCACCCGGGGAATCTCGGAATGCACTTATCGTGACCTAAAAAAAGGATCGAATCCGAAACTTAAAAATAACGAAGCAGCTTTTTTATTTTAAGGTTGAAGTGTATATTTATTCCCTGTGAGAAAGGTTCATTAGATGAAGTGATGAGTTTGCTGACAGAAGGGCTATGTGCAGTTTGAAGGTCCGGCCAGCAGGGGGCAGTGCTGCAGGGACACCACATGGAGGACAGACTGGCACTACAATATTTGCTTGAAACACTCCTTCATCACCAGTTAAACACATGATGTAATATGATGTCAGAAGTCATAAATAGTAAAGGAACCATGAATCAATATTTTTACTTAGTGCTAAAAGCATGCAGTCAGTGCTTATGTCACTATGATTTGATTTTAATCTTGTTGTCAGTTTATGAATATACCCATTTAATTATTACTTTAATACATTCAGTTATACATTATGTCCAATTAGGTCCTACATTAAGAAAGGAATTATTTGAAATGTAAATGTTTTAAAAAATCTACATTATATAGTGAGAGATTATGGTGGTTTTATGACGGATGCTTGTTTATTTAAAACATTTAATAAAATATAATAATTTTGGGGTTACACATTTGAACTAAATTAAATATTTTATTTCAATTAGTTAACTCGATGTTTTTTGTTGACTTCAACACCAGTATGTTGTTACAGACAGTATATCCTTAAATCCAAGCAACAAAAAAAATTCCACCCCCCCCAAAAAAAGACACACAAGTAAGGACAAAGCCTTTCTTAAAGTGGACCTATCATGCTATATTTGAATAATATATTGTAGGGCCACACCTATATAAAACATGTCTGCAAAGTTCTTTTTTCAAAATACCAAACAGATCATGCATTTTAGCCATGCCTCATTTCGCTCTATTTGCTCTTTCCAGCCCTGTTTTTGCAGGGGCTGATTCTGTGACGTAGCTTTAATGCAAATGAGCTGCAGCTGACCACGCCCCCCTGCTTTGAGATCAGTTGCTGGGCTGTCAGAAGAGGGAGAGAAAAAGAGATCTCCGTTATTCATTTGTTTTAAAGCTCAATAAATAACAAAGAAGACCTTTGACCGGCACTTTTCTAATTTTGTCCAGAAGATTTAACTTTAACGGACATCTTGACCGGCGAAAGAAACTGAAACTGAAACTCTGCCGCACGGTCCCCTCGTTCCTTGGAAGAGGCGGAGAGGTGGGTGTTTGTCATCTGCTGGTGGACTAACCGGAGAGAATTACAGTGCTTGCCTCGACGGGGAGGGATTGCATTGAATTAAAGCAGCGGGAGCAAACGCTTGCCTCAGGGAGGGAGAAAAAAAGCCACAGCGGAGAATAAACAGAAGGGTAACCATGGTAACTATGGGCGGGAAGTCTTCTTCGCTGCTTTTGTGGCAGACTACAGCGCCAATTACAGGCCTGGCATATGTACTACAGCGTCTCCAGCGCTTTCGATGGCCGGCTGTGGCCCAACCCCACATTCCCCTGATAGGTGGAGAGTTGGCCATATAGGCGGAGCTCCTCGTTCCTGACGTCAGAGAATTTTCAAATCTGGATCAGTTTTTATCAGATCCGTTGCAGCCCCTTTTTTAGAGATTTGGGTATGGAGGAAAATAGAGAGGGTTGTGTTTTCTGACACTTGGTGAGTTCCCTGGAACACAGGGGGACACATATTCATGTTTAAAAGACGTACAAAAGTGCATTTTGCATGATAGGTCCCCTTTAAGGTGTCCAGGAAATGCAAAGGATGTCTGCAGAGTAGGTGAGGAGGAAGGGGACATGTTACTGTGAGAACACACACACCCATCATCCTAACACACACAGCACCACAGTCTGCCTCATTAAGGCGTAGGCTCCACGAGGACGAAAACGGGTTGAATCCGCATATTTCTCATGCGTATAGCCCTTTAAGCTCGACGACGCCGTAACAGAAACGTAGAAACAGACCCCGCAAACGACAACGGGTCCAAAGGTGGATAGATCTGGGAACGGAGCGCTCTGGGGGGTCCAACGGGGCCGTGGGGTCGCCTATACGGTCATGCGTTTCATAGCCCCGCCTCTCCCCGCCTCTCCCCACCTCTGCTGCTCACCCCCGCAAAAGTACACTGCACACTGAATTCAGATTATTTATCTTTATCTCGATATGAACATAAACGCGAGTGAAGTCTAATCTGACAGGACGGAGACACGCAGCTCCTCCGGCTGTGAAGCAGCCACACACTTCAAGTCAGATCACCACCCTTAGCTATTTTAATTACCTCTCAAACTACCTAAATTAGTTATAAATATGTTTATTTTTACTGTCGGGTTTACTTACTGGATCAGCTGCTGCATGAGGAAGCATGAAGATTTAAACTTTAACACACATTGACCGGCGAAAAACTCTGCGCGGTTCCCTCCGCCCCCACCGCGGAGAATAAACAGAAGTGCAGCCATGACAACCATTCTTCTTCGCTGCTTTTGTGGAGGAAGTTGCTGCTTTTGTGGAGGAAGTTACAGCGCCACGTACAGGCTCGGCAGTACATATGTACTGCAGCTTTTCCAGCGGTTGGATGTAAACGGAGCCGTCTCGTGGAGCTTGACACAATCCGGTGTATATTGCGTGTGGGCGGAAGGTTTTTTGCGGTTGCGTTTGCGTTACTCCGATGCGTTTTGCCGTATTTGTCCTCGTGGAGCCGGGGCCTAAACCCCCCTTCAAGTCCAGGAGAGGTTACACCTATTCATCCTTTGAGCAAGGAGACTTTTCCTTTTCTGTGGCAGCGATGGGCCTGCTCCGTATGGGGGTTATTCCCTATGTGTATTCAAGAGCGTGGTCTTTAAATTTGAGAGCATAATTTATTGATTTCACATTCAGATTATGTATTTCTTTCCCTCAAACCCTGTCATCGCACTCAAATAGTGCCTGCTTGCGCTTAGATTTGCTCTGCTTCTGCTCAAACTGTACGCTTGCACTCAGATATATTGCGCCATTTGCCCATCCCTGGTCTGGAGGATCACTGTCCAACATGGAGCAAAGTCATATCGTTTTATTTGCCATACTTTTTACGCTGGCAAGGGTGCCGTGAATCAACCACGTCAGGTCTTGCTCATTGACAGCTGCATGAACAAACATGGCTAGTAACGTTAGCTTAAACCAAGGTGGTAATATTTCAAATGGCTCTTAAATACACGCAATATAGTCATCGTAATGTATGCTTCCGTGAGTTTCATTTTCCCTTCATCCATGGGTGTAGCACATGTCCTGTTTAAGTCTAATCAGTGTGGCTAAATAAAAGACTCACATTAATAATTAGGGATGCCCCAATCGATCGGCCGCCGATCGGCCGCCGATCATTATCGGCCGATATTCACTCTTAATAGTGTGATCGGTGCTCTCTATAAAGGCCTACCTCTGGAACAACCTAAACTAGTTATAAATATGTTTATTCTTCACTGTCGGGTCGCTCATTACTGGATCAGTGAGCTGCATGAGATACTGACGGGCTGTCAGGGGAGGGAGAGAGGGAGAGAGGGAGAGAGGGAGAGAGGGAGAGAGGGAGAGAGAGCGCTTCCGCTTATTTCTCCCGTGTTATTATCCAAAGTTAATGTAAACTTGAATAATGTACTTCATTTGAATGTAATAATTATGTTGTTTGTTGTTTGTGGAAGCGCATCATCTATGGAAAAATGTATCTGAACTTTTCGATCCGTTACGATTATAAACTGAAGTAATATAAAAATGAGCCCCATTAACTTTAAATGGAAGATCCCCATAGCCCGAGCAGAAGCAGAGCAAATCTAAGCGCAAGAAGGCACTATTTGAGTGCGAGAACAGGGTTTGAGGGAAAGAAATACATCATCTGAACGTGAAATCAATAAATGATGCTCTCAAATGTAAAGACCACGCTCTTGAATAAAGATAGGGAATAACCCCCATAGCTCCGTGGAACACAGTTTCTACATTTCACACTGTGTGCATCAGGCAGATGTGTGTCCAGCCCTCTGGGAACCTTGTTTTTACTAATATTATATTTTCAAGGAGCACAAGATGCAAGGAGTGATTGTGTTTAAAACGATATCAACAATTTCTGTCGATAATAATCAGTTATTCAAATTTGATTTATTTAGCCCTATTTCACAAATGGCACATTTGTCTCAGGGGGCTTTACAGTGCGCACAGCATACTGCACCCTCTGTCTGCAGACCCTCACACAAGAAGGGAGAAGAACCTCCCAAAGAAACCCCCCAGCGCCATTTATGCTGGGGACGCCGGGGGACATGTCCCCACCACTTTTGGATATGGCCAATTTTCTCCCCACCAGTTTGCAGTAGGATCATTTGTTAAAATGTTCTGAAAATATTGTGCACAAGACAACATGTCCAATCTCTGGGTGTTGCAGCTTCGACCTGCGACACGTCTAATATTAGTAATAATTGAATAAAGAATAGTAAAGTGATTGTTGCTCCCGCTTTGCAGCAGCGTATAGTTTCTGTACTATAAAAAACGCTATGGTATGTATATTTGTATATATGTATGTATTGTTTGCGGGGGGTGCTTAATGCGTGTTGAATCTACTGCAGACGTGCAGTAGATTCATTTGTGTAGATTAAAAAGATAATACATTTGCACATAGACAGTCCAAATGATATAAATGATGATGTGTATCTAAAGGAGGAAAGATTGATCTTGCTGGATGTTAATGATCTCTTTTAACAATAAGGTGGGGGTCAGATCCAGACAGAGCATTTAAAACTGGCAACCTGCCAGCTGAGAGACGCACACAGTCACACCTGAGGCCCCGCATGCTGGAAATCATTTACACTTTAAACAACCCCAAAAGGAGGAGACATATATTTCTTTCACATTTACAACGTCTTTAGCTCTGATTTTCAATTTCAAAGATAACAATTGATTTGAAATTGAGTAATTATGACAAATCCATCCATATGTTTCATGTTAGCTTGTCACATACCAAACTGACGCAGGTCCAGGCAGAGGTTGGCTCCCTCCACCAGGCTGGTGTTCTGACACATGGACCACACGTTGAAGTACATGAAGACCGGCAGGCTGGTGAAGGCCGTCACCCCCAGCCACACCAGGAAGAACAGGTATGCCAGGAACATCAGCTGCAAACACACACACCGCACACTATGTGTTATCAACCCACCGTGTGTGTGTGTGTGTGTGTGTGTGTGTGTGTGTGTGTGTGTGTGTGTGTGTGTGTGTGTGTGTGTGTGTGTGTGTGTGTGTGTGTGTGTGTGTGTGTGTGTGTGTGTGTGTGTGTGTGTGTGTGAATGTGTACGTCTTTCTCTCTCCTTCTCTCCATCAGTCCAGCTTTATATCGCGTCAGGCCGCTCTCAGGTTGGTGCTCAAAACATTGAAACACTCTTCCTCCATGTTTGCTGCTTTCCATGGCTGTGCCTATGCTATCAATACATACTAAAAAGAACAGTATGTGAACATGTATTATATATAAATCAATGTTATTGTATGTGTCTTGTTTTGTTTTAATTCAAATGAACATAATGCATTGTTATTTATGATATTGATAATCAAGAATTCAGTACCTTTCCTGGTCCCTCGGGGTTTTTGTGATTTCCAGTTCTTGTGCTCAGCTTTTTAAATGAATGAAAAGCTCTCTTTTGTTCTCTAAACCTGCCTCACTTTTGTTTTTTGCATTTGGCTCCAACTTTTTGCAAAATCGTGACTTAATAGAAAACACCAAAACCAACTATAGTTCACATTTATTGACACTGTCAGACTTCCCTGCTCTTTTTGTGGCTCTCAGGTCAATCATATTGGTGCCTGCTGAAGAAGTGAGTCATTGAAAAGTGCACATAAATATAAAGTTAAATTATAAAAGGCGCAGGTGTTTCCTTGTATAGCCGATTTCTGTAGTTTTTAGCTAGTGCTTATCAAACATGAGAAAAAAGTGCATTTGTTAGGGACAATTTTAAGCAGAGGACAAATACTCTGTGTGTGTGTGTGTGTGTGTGTGTGTGTGTGTGTGTGTGTGTGTGTGTGTGTGTGTGTGTGTGTGTGTGTGTGTGTGTGTGTGTGTGTGTGTGTGTGTGTGTGTGTGTGTGTGTGTGTGTGTGTGTGTGCTTATTGTGTTTATTCTATTGTGTGACTCACTGGTGAGCTTTTCATTGTTTCAATGAAGCTCTAAGTCTATATGACACTTTAATAAAACAAGAAATATTTGTTATCGGGATTATTTCATTGTTGGTTTTGGTGTTTTCAACAATTTGGCAACATAAGATGTTACCAGTCATTCACTGTGAATATTAACAATACTATTTGAAATGTCAATGTATCAAATCAAATGTACTGGTTACAAAGATTTCTTACGAATGCAGTCAGGCAGCGTCCGCAGGCAGAGATCTTGAACTCTCCATACAGATCCCTGATGGCGCCCGTGGTGAAGAAGCCCTCCACCAGCAGCAGCACTCCAAACACAAAGAACCCAGCTGCAAGGCCATAGATGATGTACTTCAGGATGTCAATACTTTGAAGAGACCAAACAAACACGCAGTTTATTTTTCAATACTGCATCTGTAAGTGTTAGTTGTAGACTTTATAATATATCTTATATCAGCTAAATCATCTTGTGTACCCGCCATCAACAAATTCAAAGAAGATGATGGATTGGATGGGGGTGGGTTGGTTTTGGCATTGGTGTAGAAAACAACACGTTTCCTCTTTAGTGTATCACTGATGTGACGGCTCTGCTTTAACAGAGCCTGTTGATGTGTGTGTGCTTGTGTGTGATCGTGTTTCACGTGTCTGTTGTTGTGTGTTCCTTCACAGGTCTGGTAGTCGTGGTTAATCTTGGCAACATGGAGCACCTGGCCAGTCTCCCTGGACCATGAGACCGGCCGGGTGGGTCTCTCTTTCGGTTGCAGTAGAATGTCCAAATATTCTTATCCTATTTCTGTCCTAACCATGATTTCTAGACTTCAGTGAACTAAACTGAGGAGTCCATCCTAACTGTGAGGAGTCCATCCTAACTGAGGAGTCCATCCTAACTGAGGAGTCCATCCTAACTGTGAGGAGTCCATCCTAACTGAGGAGTCCATCCTAACTGTGAGGAGACCATCCTAACTGAGGAGTCCATCCTAACTGTGAGGAGTCCATCCTAACTGAGGAGTCCATCCTAACTGAGTCCATCCTAACTGAGGAGTCCATCCTAACTGTGAGGAGTCCATCCTAACTGAGGAGTCCATCCTAACTGAGTCCATCCTAACTGAGTCCATCCTAACTGAGGAGTCCATCCTAACTGAGTCCATCCTAACTGAGGAGTCCATCCTAACTGAGTCCATCCTAACTGAGGAGTCCATCCTAACTGAGTCCATCCTAACTGAGGAGTCCATCCTAACTGTGAGGAGTCCATCCTAACTGAGGAGTCCATTCTAACTGAGTCCATCCTAACTGAGGAGTCCATCCTAACTGAGTCCATCCTAACTGAGGAGTCCATCCTAACTGAGTCCATCCTAACTGTGAGGAGTCCATTCTAACTGAGTCCATCCTAACTGAGGAGTCCATCCTAACTGAGGAGTCCATTCTAACTGAGTCCATCCTAACTGAGGAGTCCATCCTAACTGAGTCCATCCTAACTGAGGAGTCCATCCTAACTGAGGAGTCCATCCTAACTGAGGAGTCCATCCTAACTGAGTCCATCCTAACTGAGGAGTCCATCCTAACTGAGGAGTCCATCCTAACTGAGGAGTCCATCCTAACTGAGGAGTCCATTCTAACTGAGTCCATCCTAACTGAGGAGTCCATCCTAACTGAGTCCATCCTAACTGAGGAGTCCATCCAAACTGAGTCCATCCTAACTGAGGAGTCCATCCTAACTGAGGAGTCCATTCTAACTGAGTCCATCCTAACTGAGGAGTCCATCCTAACTGAGTCCATCCTAACTGAGGAGTCCATCCTAACTGAGTCCATCCTAACTGAGGAGTCCATCCTAACTGAGGAGTCCATCCTAACTGAGTCCATCCTAACTGAGGAGTCCATCCTAACTGAGTCCATCCTAACTGAGGAGTCCATCCTAACTGAGTCCATCCTAACTGAGGAGTCCATCCTAACTGAGGAGTCCATCCTAACTGAGTCCATCCTAACTGAGGAGTCCATCCTAACTGAGGAGTCCATCCTAACTGAGGAGTCCATCCTAACTGAGTCCATCCTAACTGAGGAGTCCATCCTAACTGAGGAGTCCATCCTAACTGAGTCCATCCTAACTGAGGAGTCCATCCTAACTGAGGAGTCCATCCTAACTGAGGAGTCCATCCTAACTGAGGAGACCATCCTAACTGAGGGGTCCAACCTAACTGAGTCCATCCTAACTGAGGAGTCCATCCTAACTGAGGGGTCCATCCTAACTGTGAGGAGACCATCCTAACTGAGGAGTCCATCCTAACCGTGTTGAGAAAAGTGTGGGTTGAAGTGTCATAGTTATTATGCTAAAACATGAAAACTCTCCCAGAGAAATAAGGGTAAAATAAGGTCACTCACATGGTAAACACATCCAGAGTTTCTCCCGGGGCTCGGATGACTTCAAAGTAGTTCTGCAGGATGGTGACGGTGCCACTCAGAGCCTCGTGGCCGCAGCCGCAGAACAGGGCCACCCCCATGTAGAGCAGAATGGTGGCGATGAGCGAGGCCCAGGGCAGGCTACCCACACAGCGCTCACAGCACTCTTTACAACCTGACACACACAACATTGGATAAGTATGAGACAATACATTTAAGAAGTTCAATCTAATCTATAAATTATTATAGGAGTCGCAGAATGATCATATTTGCAAATAAGATGATTCCAAAAGCCCATGGTGAAAAGCTTAAAGCAAGTATTCACACTGGTAATGAGGTTCAGGAACATTCATGTTCTTTAATCATTCTGAGACGGCTCAGACTAAACATTGACTAATCAAATAGACCTAATCAACAAAAATATAAATGATACCCAGTTTCTAACAAGTAGAGGAGGCAATGCAAATTAGTGATGGCAGCCCCTCCCTGAGACCCTCCTCTAAATGATGACTCAGGTATCATATGTGAACTGCATAGGGAAGTGTTATCAATAATTGAGAGTTTGTTGACTGATCAGTTTATGTTTCAAATTGTTACAATCTGGATCTGATTGTTGAACACCTTTTTCACATCTATGAAGAATACAGTAATATTAACACGCAATATTACATGTTAGACGCTTTTATCCAGAGAGACTTCCATACATTCATTACTGCGGACAATCCCCAACCTGGGGTGAAGTGTCTGGCTCAGGGACACAACTACATGCTGACTGCAGTGGGACTCGAACTTGCGCTGCCCTGATCCGAAGATCATTATTCCACTGAGCCACAGCCACCATCACAACGCTTGAATACATACAAAAACTTGATTCACTTTCCAGAACACTACAACTTCCAGAGTCTAGATAGAGAGAAAACGAGACAGTGTTTGAAATACATTCCTAGTGCTGTGAACACACAAAGAAAGTACCATGCACCACCACTACGAAGACAGTATATCATACTGTGTTCACATTAAACATGAAGTATCAAGATATCTGCATGGATAATTATATTAAGAGGTAAGTTGGGAAAATATGATTGTTTGTCTTTGCAAAGGCCCTTGTGAGGTGCACATTTCATGACCTACATGATGAAACTTAGCAGTAAATATGTTCAGTAAAATAAATATTAGTAGTTTAGATAAGATCTCTGAGGTTTGGAATGTAACTTTATTACAAAACTGGACACAAATACAGCCTTTTACATATGGAGACTGCATACAGTTTCTATCAGTGATGATATGCCAAACATCATCTTAAATGATATTATATAATGACTCTCTTGTGTGGCTGCCTCTGCTACTTTGAGTCGCTGTAGTTCCACCAGATCAC